AGCCCCCAAAAGGCCCTTTTGTATGCTCCCTGCATTTCAAGTATTTCTTCACTAATGCCAGTTACTCTCCCATCACAATGAATTCTCTGGTTGCATGTTCATCTCCTTAATATACCCTAAGGTCCTTGTTGCCCCACATCCTGTAACCTAAGTACATTTTAGAATTCATTACCTATATGCTAACAGGAAACAAATACTTGGTCATGTGCATGTAAAGTAGGTCAGGTAGGGGCAGTGTATTCAAAGTACACACACACACACACACACCCTCCGCTTCTAGGCTCTTCCTCTCCCTCAAGACAAACAAAAACTCCTACTGCTCCTAATACAAAGAAAATGAAAATATTCCTAACTCTTAATCACTTTTGTAACAATCACTTTATTGATTATGGGTTTCAAGACAATTTAGGATTCAAAGAAAACCTTCCCACTATAACTCTGACAGGGAACTTTTGACTACTACCTATACAACACAAGATTACCTAGACTTAATAACTTTGTGACCCTGAACAACTTACTGTCTTCTTTGGGACTCAGTGCCCATACAGAAGTTATAAAAAGTAATTACTCTGCCTATTTCACAGAGTAATCAGGACAGTAAAACAGGGTATGCTTAAAATACAAGAATATTGTAATCGAACACTGAAATTTGACACTTACCTGTGGAGTGTAATTCTTTATCCGATTCTAATCAGTAATAAACACATGTGCTAGGTATTTTAGATGTGTCCGATTAAGCATTGCTGGGTAGAGGAGAAAAGCAATCCACATCGTGTGCTGCAAGTATTCCCTCCCTGCTATGCCGGAGTCTAGGGGAAGAGCAGGTCTCACTAGCACACTCCAGAGGACTAAAGTCTTGGCTGTCATCAAAGAACAGTTACGCATGGTTGACCCTGGTGTGGACCCTGGTGTGGACCCCGGCTAGGAAGGTTCTAAGCTACAGATGCAGTTGGTAAGTAAGGAGTTCTAAACTAGGGGTGATGACCCAGCAACAGACATGTGCCCATGGCTGTCACAACTGAGGCACGGGTGGGGAGGGGCCAGAACAACACAGAGCTGCATCTTCCCAGCCCCACAGTCAGTGACAGGAAAAACCTATTTTAAAGCACCTCTACCCAGATAACAGAACTAGAGGACTGCATCATTCATCCACCAAGCATTTACGGAGCATTAGCCATGGAAATTTCTGTGTCTGGCTCTTCCTAAAAGCCAAAAGGTACACAGCAGTTATCATATTCTGTAATACATTTATAAGCAAACAGCCTTGGAAGGATCTCAAAAACAGCCAAGTAAGTTCACTGTGACTTGGAATTTTTACACTTTTTCTAAGTACTTACCTCTAGGGCCTGCATTCGTTTTAACAGCATTTTATTTTCGTTGTTCTTAATCTTTTCTTCAAAGAATTCCATAAATGTTTTTTTGTAGACTAATTTCATATTGTACTTTTTCACCATTCTGTCCAAAAGAGATTACATAGTGAAAAGGCTTCCAAAACAGCTGTAATTCCTCAATAGCTTACTTTGCTATAACAACAGCGACATATTCGGGACTTAACTAAGAAAGCTGCCATTTCCTTCATAAACCGACTACAAAGAAATGTAATTAAGAGTAACCACACCTACAAAGAAACATATGTCCTAAATCCCATAGCTTGCCCCATGTAGCACACAGGTGGAAAGTGTAATGAAGGCCAGCGTTTGGGGCTCTAAGATGGGGTGAGGCTGAGGAAACATTTTCAGATTAATTCCATTCTATTCTATTGCAGCCCCACATAGCTGCATGAAAACAGCTGCCAATTCCTTCTTAAAAGATTCACTTTTATCTCCTGCATTCTCTTAATTTTTACATCTTGCGCTGTCTCTCTGCATATTTTTTGTTTGTTTTGTTTTGCTTTGAACTTCTAAATCTCAGGTTTTGAAGAGACTGGTCTGGAGTGGTCTTCATCATCATTGCCTGGGAGGTCTACTCTCTCATCACTTGCATTTACTCCAGTGCTCATCAAATCTATCCCGTGCGTGTCGCAGACATTCTCTAACTTCACATGTTTAAGACTGAGCCACACACGATTCTTTTTCTGCCATTCTACATTACTGCACTAAACCTGCCTGTCTCACTCTCCCAAGCCCACATCACACCAAGTCCTCCAAAAAGAGGTTCACTTCATACTCTGTCTGCTACCACCCTGTTCTAATGACCACCACCATCTGGCTGGCTGTACCACTCCAGCAACCTCTTCTCTTGTCCCCTGCCTTCCAGTATTAATGTCCTTCGATAAATATCCAAATGCAGTCAAATTAAGCTTCCAAAAATACAGATGTAGTCAGTGTCACAACTCACCCTGAACAACCTCCACAGGGCTCCACCATACCTAGTACACAATTCAAAAGCTCTCAATGTGACATCTGCAAGGAATCCTGCCTCCTCTCGGGCAGCTGGGCCCCTGGTTCCCTAAGAGGCAGTCATAAGCTTTCCTTCTTCTGCTCCTGTCCCACTCTGGGGCTTCACACACTGTCTGTTGCCACTGTCCATCTCCTGTGCACCTGACTGAAACATCACTTCTCTCCAGACGTCTTCCTTAAGTGCTCGCTGCATTTGGTCTACCGTTACACTGAGGTTCACTTTCCCCACTGCATTTACCAAATGTATTATTATGGTCTGCTGAAGGAAGCCAGGAGATGACTCTAGGCAGCAGGGTAAGGGAGTAGCAGAGGAAGAGGATGACTTTCACAAGGCAAGGGAGGGCTTGTGTGTGAGGGACATGTGAGCTGTGGCACTCATGTGCAAAGAGCATGCACAAGGCAGAGCTGCCACCCTAGCCAGCCCTCCATGAGGAGAGAAGGTCAGTCCCTTCTACTCCAGACAGTTCCGAAACAGCCTTTAGATTTAAAATCAAGTTTGATAATGTGAAAATATTGCAATTACAAGGAACCCAAGTTGGGCTAGCAGAAAGGTTCTGCAATAAAAGGTGATTAAATTTTTGTTCTGTTTTAATGACAGGCAAAAAGGCCTTTATACATTTTCTGATTCTCTCACCAAATACCCATTTTAATGAATAATTTTCCTCAAAACATAAAGAAATAAATTTCTTAAAAAGTATATATTGTCAGGACTTGTAACTTTGTAAGTTTATCACTAGACAACGTAAGTAAAAAAGATTCCTAAGCTTGCTTAGCATTTAAAAAAGTATCTTCTTGGATTTACTAAAACCACCAACTATGTGAACCAAAAACAAAAACCTAACATATGAAAAATATGAAAAACAATTGTTTAATTTCTTTTATAAAGTTGAAAAGTAGTAACATTTTTCTAATTTATTAATTTTAATAAAATTAGTTAATTTTATAAATACCATACTTATAAAATTGTGCGTATTATTTTCCTAATGTTCAATCATGTTACTTGTCTTTATTATGTTATTGTTTAAAATTTTTACAATTAGTATAAAACTAAAAATTCTACATCCATAACTTTACAAGCTAAGTCCCAATTCAAACAATCAACAATCAAAACTAAACAAAATAAAGCTCCTGCTTGTCTCAGTCAATATTCAGCTATGATGTGACCTCCATGAAAGCTGACTCCAGTCCTCTCCCCAGCAGGGAAACCCCAAAACCAGGGTATACCACAAGGCCTTGCAGCCTTATGTGATACAGCCCAGTACCCGGAACTCTTCCTGTGTCCAGAGTTCGCCACGAGTCCTAGGAGTTCAGAAGCATGGGGGAATACATTCCTAAACGATACTTCTATCAACACTGCTAGACACAGGCCATCCAAAGCTGCCACCTACCTCTATCAAAAAATGAGGACCTCTGATTTACAAAGACTCACTTCATATTTCCAAAGTTACTAGCAGTTACTTAAAGAAAAAATTTTGCTATCTGCAAGGTTTAGTATTTTCCGCCACAAGGTGAAGGCAACTGGCTCCTTTCTTATCCACAGGATAAAATCATTTCCAGAAATAAAAGAAAACTAAACGAGGCTCTCAGAGGTCCATGGCACCAATGGGGGATCTGAGGCTACAATCTTTTCTTACACAATTAGACTTCTTACAGTGCCACTTTAAACATGGAATGAGTAGGAATAATGATCCTTCCCCCTTTTTCTTTTTTTACAAGACAAAAAAGAAAAAGAAAAACACAGTAACAGATTAATGACATTCTTACTGAGTTAGCAATGGAAAATAGACCAAGAATTCAGGGACATCCACAACACCTTCCAAGTTGAAGTCGTATTTGCAGCCAAATAAAGGATAATCTCCTTTCTTCTGAAATTTCACAGTATATATTTCATTTCCAAATGATTCTGTTTCTGAAGCTTCAAGGCGACTTCTATCAGGATTATTCCCCAGCCAAAATAAGAAAGATTAAAGTGATTAAATCTTGATGAGATTATGCATGTTGAAAAAGTACATGATACAACTTAAAAAGTCACTTTACTAGTTTTTAATTGGATTCAAGGTACTCTTCAGAAGAAATACACTAAAATACCATTAATAGTCTTAAGAAAAAGTTAGGTTGGTTAAGTCTCTGGTCCTCAGTATTTGATTGGTAACTTGCCTACCACAGTCACCTCTGGTTCAGCATAACCTCAGTCTCCAAACTACATGTAAGGTTCTAAAAGGTTATCTTAGATCTTTAAGCATCTACTTAAATATAGTACATTAAGTGCTCAGCACTTGTAAGACTAAATAGCGTGTCTTGTGAACTCTATTTGTGATAAACATTTGCTACTTAATAGTACATATTTTGTAAACCTCGTGCATTTAAAAGTACTTACATCAGTTCAAAGCTATTGGGAGTGGTACCGATAAAGTAGCCTCCAGGGCTGAGTCTCTCACAAGCATTTCTGAGCATCATGTCAGCCTGCTCAGAGGATTCAAAAGAGTAATGACAGACAAACTGACAACTGCAGATGTCAAAGCACATTTCTGGGTCCCGAAATTTATCAACTAAAAGTTCCTGAAACAAATTAAAATGGATTAATATTGTGAAGCAAAGGTAACATGGATGAGAAACTTTTTGGTACCTTAATTCCCAGAATTTAGAGTTCTTAAAAGTAGACAAGCCCTGCCATTAACCAACTCTTTAAATCAGTCTTCAGTTCTCCTTCCCCTTGCTATGTATGAGGAGCACAATGAAATCACTCTGATTCTAGCTCAAAAAAGTATTTGATTCCTATTTGCATGTAAGTTAAAGATCCAAGGATCCCAAAATCATGTTTAATAATGCAGCTATCAGATATGACATTTAAAGTTGACCTTTTCAACATTGGCATCTTAAAGAAATAAAAATGTTTGAAGGTTTCCAACTTCCTAGCAATATTTTACACTTCTTTTCCACTTTCAAAACTGCAAGCAAAATGTGCACAATTGACAAAGGTATCTACAGTTTAACAGGTCAGACAAAGATCACCAAGTTCACCACGAGTCTTTTACCACTCAATTGGCCCTTAAATTCTACAGTTAAGAAATTCAGAAATGGGTTGTCACTCGGCAGGAGAGTGTTTGCCAAGCATGTGCAAAGGCCTGGGTGTGATCCTCAGCACCCGCCTCCCCACTTCACATACACAGTTCAGAAACAGACTGAAAATGGAAAAACCGAAAAGATTCTGACATTGGGAAATTAATAAACTACATGGTGAACAAAACATTATTAGAGTTCAGTTCTATTTCAAAACATAGTCAGTCATTAGTAGCCTCAGGTTCTGCATCAATGAGTTCAAACAACTGTATGCTGAAAATATAAGGAAAGAGAAACAGTATCCATACAGACTTTTTCCCTGCCATTACTCCGCAAACAATAAAGTCAACATAGCACCAACACCGTAGCAGTACTGTAAGTATGTAAGTATACACAAAGCACACTGGAGCGTGCGTACAGGTTGCCTACAAACACTACTATTATCATTTACACGAGGGACTTGAGCTCTTTTGCATTTGGCATTTGTGGGGCCAATCCCTGCAGATTCTGAGGGACAACTGTGCTAGAAAATAAATCTTGTTCAAATCAAAAAGCAACAGAATGATTTCAACAACTCAAATTATAGAAGCAAATTCCCAGAAGTACCCACTGAGTTGCTGAGGGGAACTTATGATAAAAGAATTTCTAGTTGAAACTGAATAAATGCACATCCTAAGGTTTTTAATGTTTCAAAGCACATTTTAACAAATAAGTTGATTAAAACAACAAAAAGAAAATCCCTGTACCTTTGAAGAGTCAGCAGTTATAAATTCCGCATTAAAAAGATATTCATTATCACGACGATTTTTCATGTCCTCATACCGCTGTTGACACTGCTTGACAGAAATGTCGGCGATATCTGAAAGTGGAAGAAGTGTGTCAGTGACTGTCAACAGAAAAGGTAGAAGGCTGTTAGTATCCGTCAACACACAAGGGCAAAAATCCTCACAAGGATCTCAACTGATACACTTGGCATGAAATCTAGGGTTAATAAGGTTTTATTTCCCTTAAAACAGCAGTGTATGTTACAGTACAAATGCGCTATTATTTTTTAAAAATAGGAACTAAAAGCTTTCCTAATAGGTACTAACACCAAAAAAGTTCCAGCACAATTATTAAATGTTTATTCAAAGTTAAAAGCAGGAAGATATCTTAATTGAATGATGATAAAACCAACACTACCTAAGTTCACTTTTGGAAACATCAAGTTTTTATTTTCATAATAGTGTTTTGCCATTTATCCTGCTCTGAGATTTGCACTGTGATGCAAAAGCAATGGTGGGGGTCACACAGCCCCTCAACAGCACCCACACTCATGGGGAAAGTTACTGTCATCTAGAAAGGCCTCTAACAAAGCAGAACTTCATGAAATCTTGGCTCTTGAAAACATCTTTTAATAGCCTATGAGATGAAATGGGAAGTAGCAAAAAATCCTTCTCCTGTATAACAAGGTGTGACATCCCTTTAGGGCAACATTAGTTGTGACTATTCTGAGTTGTATGCTGGACTGGCCACTCTTCACAGAAAGACTTGAAAGAATGGCAAACCATCGTTACTCAAACTTGAGTATCTGGTACATATTTTATTGAAAATGAACACTGTTGTTTTCAGGAAAACAATGAATAGTATTTGCTGCCAAAGATAAAATATGACTTTCATGGGCAATTTCCAATTTGAATAACTTGTACTCATCATCGGATGAACACCTTCCAAGTGTATAAAGCCTCTCTGATGAGTGTGGTACTAAACAAATGCGATTCCATGGTGTCAACATTTGGAAGATCTGCATTACTTCAGTATGAACAGTATTTTCCAAGTATCACAATTCCATGCAGGACAGCAAGGCAGATCAATGGATTTTAGCGTAATGTAGTATAAAATGTTTGTCAATAAGGCTGCACATTACAACTAACCTTTAAGCAACTACCATTTGTAGAATCAAAGATAAATATCCACAATTATCTAAAGGAGCTATTAAAATAGCTTTCATTTTATAATTACTTATCAACCAAAATAATGCTGTAATAGGTTTAGTGCAGAATCAATTGAGAATCTACTGGTCTATTATTCCACACCCTAAAAGGACTAACAAAAATGTATTTCTTTTTTTTTTTCAATCTGGGAATTAAACTCAGGACCTCACACTTGCCAGGCAGGCACCATGACACTATATCCCCAGCTCAGTTTTTTTGTATTTCTTTTTCTTTCTTTTTTCTTTTCTAGCAAAAATGTCAAAAAAGAAAAACTACCAGTATGCTCATTAAATTTTAATGAATTAAAACATTATCTCTAAAAATCTCAGTTTTAACTTTTCACAGGGTAAGTACCAACCGTACGATAAAGCACATGTTCTAGTCTTCAATAACTTTTAAGCATATTCAGGACTCATCACACCTAAAGACTTAAGAACTACTGACTGATGCCAGGTGTGTTGGTGCACACCTGTAATCCCAGGACTCAAGAGGCTAAGGCAATGAAACTGCCATGAGTTCAAGGCCAGGCTGGACTATGTAGCAAGACCTTGTCTCAACCTCCACCTCCCTAAAAAAGCAGAACTGCTGATAGAGACACTGAAACAATACTCTGGAGGTGGCTGCTGTTCTTCCTCTAATTTACATCAGAAAGAACAGGACACCTGCAGGTCCCACTTCAGTGTTCAGACTGATCACTGTGTTCAGGTGCTTGACTCATTCATTTATCAAGCTCCCATCAAATTTTCACTATAGCTTCCAGATCTTTTTAAGATTGTTGCCTCAATCTATTATTGCAGGTGAAAAAACACTGATTCTCTAATGTTATTATCATTCTTCCTCCATTTATCTATGATGACTTTTCAATAAAGAGGAATTTCCTATTTCAAACATTTGGTTACCTTGAAAAACTATTTATATTAGGTAAGAAAACGCTTTATTCTCTCCCCACACTTATGAGTTTCAAAGTAAGTCTTTCAGCAACTTCCAAGAGTGAACAATGAGGTCTTTTCCTTTATTTAATGTTCAATCACTATTCTTTTTGATGTCTGAATTCCTATCTTAGCCAATGGAAAAGTTTACAAGTTTGTCCTTTAGATATGACTCCTATTATTTTTGACAGCTTCATGCCTTTCTCAGGAAGGGTAAGTTATCCCAACCTCATTAACTATATTAGAAAACCACTGGGGAAGTCCTATAACTAATTTTTAAAAAACACCCACCTCTTGCACAGCCCCTGGAAGACTTGCCACAAGGTATTCCAACATCATGATAGCAAGGAAACCTTTATTTCCTATTCACCTAATTGATCACAAATTACTCTTTCCAATATTAGCATTTATCTTACCAGTACAAACGAGCTTGCTAATTCTTCCTTTTCTCCATTTCAGCAAATCTCCACCTTTACCACATCCCAAGTCCAAAACAGTAATATCACGGGTTTTTTTCTGTCGTACCTTTTCTAAAAATTCCCCTAAAAGAGAAAAATCAGTCATAATCAACTACCTATTGTTCATTTTTAGTAAAGCACAGTTACCTTTAACAATCTTCTAACCTCTGACACATAATAGTTACATTTATTTATAGTTAATTTGAAACTTGCTATTTCAAAATATTGCATAACTAAGTTAAATTCATCATATATCATTAACATGGTTCCACCAGCTTGACCCACTGGTAGTATACATGTGATTGTACCACTTCTACCACCAGTGGTACAAGCCATCCGATGGGACAGTCATGCATAGACCACCAGTAGTTCAAGCACCCTGGCAGTAAGACATGTGAATTACGGTGCCACTGTGAATGTGTGAAAGATGAAAGAATATATATATAGTGTATTATAAAGTTAAGACAGCTTTTTGAAGGTTACTTCCAGAATTTAAGTCAACATCAAATAGAAGACATTTCAAATTCTAATTAATATAGAGACCTCACATTTCTTTTTTTTTTTTTTTTTGGTTTTTCTCCGGTACCGGTACCGGAACTCACGACCTTGCGCTTGCCAGGCAGGCGCTTTTGCCGCTGAGCTAAATCCCCCGCCCCGAGACCTCACATTTCTGTAAGAGAAAGATTAGTTTTCTGGTTGTGTAAAGTAATAATTGTACCTATATTATTATTATTTTTTTTTTTGGTTTTTCTCCGGTACCGGTACCAGAACTCACGACCTTGCGCTTGCCAGGCAGGCGCTTTTGCCGCTGAGCTAAATCCCCAGCCCTGAGACCTCACATTTCTGTAAGAGAAAAGCCAAAAACAATTCACTGTTTTTGTAATGCTCTCTTTTCACAGCTAGAGACTTAATTTCTTATACATC